TAAGACCACTGTGTGTTCAGAGGAGATGGGAAGGAAGGGCTGTCATGCTGGACACGCAGCACTTGTGAGAGGGATAGTCACAACAGTGCCTCAGGCCTAGATCCGTGTCAAGTTCTCTCTTAACACCAACTGTTACCCCACAAAAGTAATGAAGTTTAATTCTTCAGTTCCAGACTTCTCTCATTAATTTAAAAGTTAAGGAGATGATTTAAGAGCAGAAGCTAACTTTAAATGATCCTCTGGGAGAAAGCTCTCTTCACAGTCTATAAAAAAAAGCCTATGGAAAGCATTTACACTCTTAAAATCAGACTTGGCAAAACTCCCTCCAGATTTGTTTTTTTTACCTCTGTCCTACAAGGGAAGCTTGTCCCTCTCCTGGTTTGTTCCATCTCCCGTCAAAGAGCAACGCATGTGATAAAAACATTAGCAGAAAAACTCTCAACCTGCTCAAAGAAGGTTGCTGTTGCTTCCAGTAACATGAGCTAGAAAATAGGTGACTCTATAGCAGGGATTCTCAAGAAAGATGTAAGGCTTCAAAAAGCCAAAGAAAAAATCTTAATTTTCAAATTAAAAAAAAGTCAACATTCATTGCATAAGCACTAAAAGCATGTAGTTTTGTTCATCTGAACAGAAACTGTGAGTTTATGTGCTAATTATAGCCATATAGAAGATTGTAGGACTATGGATCTCTTTAAGCACTGTTTAATTAGGTTCCAGGTTGAAATTCCCTCTTGTGTTTGGGGTCTGTTGGCTGGCCCTCAAAACAGAGCAACTTTATCTGGAGGTGGATGACTGTGAACTGTCTCATAAGATAACCACTGAATCTTACAAGTAAGTACTGAACAGGAATGTAATTTTACTTAAGCATTGTTTAGGATTTAGGAATTTCATACACCATATGATACTTCTAACATATAGATGACATAAGCCTCCCACACAAAATACAACAAGCTAGAATGGTAGAACAAAATCAAGAAATAGTGGAAAACAAGTCACAGAAAGGAATATAATCACACAGTCATGTGGTTATATGGCTATTTTTTATGTCTATGCCTAAGATAGTCACCATAAGCTCTTACACCCGCTACATAAATATAGGCACCTGCAGACACAGTGTACCTCAGGTACTTTAAACATATACAAGAAGATGCAATGAATCCTGTTGTAGGAGTGCCTGTTTTTCTCCACTGATTACAGGAGAGTATAGAGAATTGCATGAGATGCAGAAATTAGCATAGCTGACATCTATATTTTTTCACAGCAATCCCGCTCAAGGTTCTTGATGTAACTCTAGTTTGCTTCCATCACTGATTGTTACACAGGCAAATTATGCTTATCAGCATGCCATGTGCTGTGATATACTGAAGCTCAGGTTGAGTCACTTCCATTTTTAAGAAGCTTTGCAAGGTCCCAAGTTCAGTTAAATGCACGAGTCAGAGTCATTACATCTGGAATGGGCTTGATTTACCTGTCAGGACCAGCTCCACTGAATCCAGCTTGGTTACACAGAGGTGAGAGAAAAAATATCAGAGAAGAAAAACAAGTCTTACTACTTGATGAAGTGTTTCAGTGTTGCTAAATATGATTTAATCTGAAATACAGATCTAGAGAAGAAATTAATGAAGGCATATTCAATGAATGGAGAGGGAAGGAAAAACTGTGTTGAAAGTATCCAACTTAAAAGGAAGTTCAGATACTACAAATACCTTGTAAAACTAAACTTCTTGCACTTAAAAAGAAAATAGGCATGTCATTAAGGACATGAATTTAAACGCTTTCCAGTTGAGATATTAAAATTTTAAGCTACAAGATTCTGACCTGAATTCATTTTCATTGAAAAAGCTGAGATCACTGAAACTATTTAAAAGTTAAAGTGCAGAAGTGAATCTGAAACATGTTCTGATATTAAAACTATCTCTCAGTTCTGTTGCATTAACAGCAAATGCATATTTAAATTTTCAGGTAATCAGAGCAGTACTAAGGAGTTCACAACACAAACAATCTGAGTGACATAACCCTGCCAATCTCAGAACTGTGGAACATGTTCCAAAGTCATACGAATGTTCCTAGTGGCTTCCACAAGTGTTGGGCCAGATTGGGAAACACCTGTATTTCCTGAAACTTATACAGTCAGTGGGATTACCACACATTTAAAAATATTTCAGCACACCAATTTCCCCATTTTATCCTCTCTCTTGATGGAGTTTCTAAAGGTTCCTACCCTGACCATCTTAGGTCCATTACTTGGGTCTTGCGAGTGCTCTTTTCCATGAATTGTATCGGAAGCTTGGATGGACAGCTTTAGACAGAAGGTGGCCTGGCACACCTGCTTCTCTCCCCAACTTCCTCTTTACAGTAATCATGAAATCTCACCCAGGTTCTTTTAGGAGTGTGATGACTACAATTCTTAGTCCCTTGAGCATTCATCACCAGAAGGACTGGGAGTCAAATACAAAAGAGGCAGTCACAAGAAATCACATTCCAAGTCCACTCTGTCCAACAGTTCAATCTGTAGCTACAGCCTGGGGGAAGCATACAGAATTGTCACCTGACCCCAGGCCCTGGCAAAAACCTCAACTGCCTCAGTCAGAATGTCTAAAAGCTCATTATTACCTGTGAGCTGATAGGGACTTCCTGGTCCAGAAGAGCTTTCTGGTGAGTTGGGATAGCTGATGCTGTTAGGTGACTGGGAAAACATGTGGCTGGGTGATGACGGAAAAGGGGTGCATGGAGGATGCTGGAAAGAATCAGGATAGGTGGCATTGTGCGGCATCAGTGGCTCACTGTGCAGAGAAGTGTTTCGAAACTTGGCGAGGAGGCTGAGGTGAGGGTTAAACTCGCTGTGTCTTGGAACGAGTACAGGAGGTAGGACTGAAAACCAACAACAACAGAAATAAAATGGTTAAAACTGCATTCTTGAAAGTACATCTCTTTGCAAGTTAAAAAGAGGCATATTCCATGCTGCTCAAATATTGCTGTCTATATATAAGTCATCGAAGGGCAACAAACCTGTTCAAAATCAAGAATCAAAAGCCGATTCTTGGGACTTTTTTTTTCCTGCAGATTTGCAGCCAGTTACAGCAGTTCCACATGCAAAATACAGAATCCTGTCTTGAGCAAAGTACCAAAAAATTCACAAGTACAGCATGCACACACAGTCCTCTTACAGAAATGTAAGTGGCACATCTCTCCCCCTCAAAAATTATTCATTCTTTCCTTCTTCAAAGACTGAGTATGTCAAGAATTCGCTAAATATTATCACCAGGATGTGCCAGATTCACAGCCACGTTTAATAACAATTAATAGTACTCTGTAATACACCACATGTTTTACTACCAGTGGGTCACAGACGGGCAAAAGGAAGTATGGACCAGAAGCTAGACACCAGATTTAAAATGTTCTCAGGTACCTGAAAACGTTACCAGCCAGACAGTGGGATCTTAAAAAGGAAATGTAAATGGCAATTAAAATATTGCAGCAATACCAATTTAGCTCTTGCAATATAGTTAGAAAAGATCTAGCATAAGAAGATATATGTCAATGGTTGGTATTTAAGACATGAAAAACACAGGTCAGAAAACTGAAATCCAAATTAACCAATGTAAAAATTACTCTAGTAGAAAATACCACCTCTCTTCACAAACTCTCTTCACTTACATCTCCCACTGTCAGTGCTGTTAACACCACTGCTCCTTTGAGAAACCCAAAGTGGATCGAAATTACTCTGGATTGTGACATGAGGAGCAAGAGCAGAACTGGAGTCAAAACACTGTAAAAATCCTGACTGATGAGTTACCTATAAAGATGAATTCCCTAGGCTGGAACACAAAGGGGCTTGCTAAGTAGGTCTACATATGAGAGTTCAACTTGAGGCTTTAATGGGCTCCCCCCTAGTCCCTGGGGGGAGAACAGCACCTACAGTGGGCAATTCATGTAGCCTTAAGTTGTCATGCATACCTAAAAGCCACCAGAAGAGATAAAGACGCAATTTGAGTTATTGTGACAAGGATGAATTGTCCCAACACCAGGGACAATTCAGCAGGCTTGTATTGATTGACCTAGTGTCCAGAGTTCCTCTGTCTTAAAACCCAGCAGCAGGTAATCTTTCAGTCTACCCTTAATAGTTTATAGAAACAAACAGCAATGTGCACTCTTAGTCTTAAATGTTGTTGGGAATATACGGTTTGAACATGTTTTAACACACTGCTTGGGCCCAAAAGCTCTGCTTAGGTAAGGCAAATCCTTTTTAGGTAGGTTAGCTAACACCTTTTAATTATAGCAAACTCTCACTTATCCAGCTTAATGAAAGTGTGAAATAATTGCTATAAAGCAAGTAATATATAGATAATGCAAAACATGTGCATGAGAAGAGGCTGCAGGAACACTCCCCTTGAAATGCACATCAATAGCTCAGAGAACTGAGGCAGTTACCAGTGCCTGATAACCAGAATAGGTTTACAGCTTCTTGCTTGATGTAACACTATGCTGCAACTCGGGTAGGATTAAGCCATACATCTGTCCACCCACTAGCATACACCATTTGGGAATTTGTCAATCACCTATGAGCTGAAGAACTGAGCCTTAAAACCATACAAAAGATTGAACTGATGTCAGGGAGTTTACTGCAGAAGTTTTCTTATCTGCCTGGAAATACAGGCACTGAGATACCTATTAAGAGACTGGACATAAACCCTTCTCTGGCCCAGTGCACTTCTAATTAGCTTCCAGCCAGGACAAGGATTGTGCTTTGGAGACTACTTTCTTTCCTTCTGGATCTGATATGCCCCTAACTGTGGCGCGAAAATTCTGCCACCACCTTCTTAAGTCCATTGGTAGAGAAAGGTGTTTCTGCTTCTTTACTGCGTTTTTAGTTTTATGGATTTCCTACACTTTCCAGGTAGGACTCTTACAGGCAATACAAGTAGTCACATCTTATTCACATGGATTTCCTCATAGCCAGGGGAGAAAACCACATCTTTTACTGCTAAGTTCATCTGTTATATATTGGGACAAGACCAGTATAACCACTGGAGACATGTTTTGGGTGAGCTGGATCGCTCCCATCCCATGGTCTTGTGGGCAGCCCCAGGCTGTGAGCTGTTGCTGCTTCTGGAGTTTTCCTGTGCTGTTTCATGAATCTGGTATAATGCTTGCCAGGTCTGCTGCTGCTCAGCCAGCTCTGACCAGTAGCCTTAGAAAATGGGGAGCTGGTGATACCTTTGCACCCAGAAGAGGTGCTGAGCAAGGGACAGCTGGGCTACAGCAACGTCATGCAGCACTGAGAGGCTGGCACCTCGCTGTGGGTACCACTGCTAAGGAAGCTGCTTTCTTTAGCCCTGTGAGAACTCACATAACTCCTCTAAATTAAAGCTGAGAATCTGGATGTGTGAACAGCACTTGCCAGGGAAAGCCTTTGATTTGCCTTGAGTGAGTCAGCATGCTAGAAGAATTTTCAAGCCTTGAATTCCTTCCCAGCTCTGACCAGGATACTCCTAATTTCTGCTGTGGTGTACAGTTTTTTGCCACCTCACTTAATCTTTCCACCAGCTGTTATGTGACTGCCTAGAGGGCTAAAGCCTCTGTGGTGGTGAGGAATTCAGAAATTTTCTTGTTTGTGGCTAAAGAGTACCCCTGAGGGCCTTGTTCTCCTTGTTCTTTGGGTAACATGCCCCTCTCCAGGGCTCAACCACTCTGAAGGAAGGGTGAGCAGAGGAACAAAACTGAGTGACTGAGTGTATTTGGACTTGTCTTCCCTCATAAATTACCGCACTTTCTCTACTCAGTGGGGTCCTTTTCTCCTACCTGCTATACCTCTACCAAGAGCCAGAGGTGGATCCTTCCTTCTATGCATGCTCAAGTGTTGATGATCTTTGTTTAACTGAAGATGTATACAGTCATATCTTGAGTCCTGCTACTGTCTTGCCCGCACAAGGCTTTCTCCTGTTCCCTTTAGCTTCAACAGTTCTTGCTGAAAACCTGGCTGTACCCAGAGCCTCTGACTTCAGAGGCTTGCAAGCAAACTATCTGTCTCAGTTTAGTTCCATGCACAACATCCACACTGCAATTTCTCACACATCAGTCTACCTCTGCAGTTTACTACCTTTGGAGATCTACCCTCGGATGAGATCCTGTGCCTCCCTGTGCCCACAACTATTCCCGAACTCATGGTCAACAGTGAGATCATCAGGTGGTCTTCCACCTGGGAGGCTATCACATCTTACTCCCACTCGGGCTTGATGAAAGCAGTCAGTTAAAGTCTAAAATTCATTTAGGCTCCTGCTGTCTGCAGCAATGGTGCACCCTCAAATCTGCAGTATCTACACATGAATGATCTCATATAAAAAAAAAAAAGGGTACCTGTTTAGGCAGCTTCCAGATTGTTCCCTCAAACTACAGCTTCTTCTAACAACCCACAATTCAGACTTCTGACGAGCTCTTCGAAGAAAACAATGAAGGGGGAAGTAGAGCATAATCATCATACCTATCTCCTTCAGGCTAGGTGGCCTAAGCCCTCTCTGCAGTGGGATGTTGCACAAATAGAGGACATATTTGCTGTTTTATTCTAACTGGCACCTGATACTCAGCAGACCTGATAAGAAATCTGCTGGGGACACTGGTAGCAGCAATAAAAGCTATGCATAGTCATTGCAGTATTGGTCAGCATAGCCTAAAATTCGGCTGGGCAGCTTGAGGACATAGCAGAGGCAATGAAACCTCTGAATCTTCAACGAGAGCTTAAAGCTGCTCTCTAGTAACAGAAGTCTAGGGATCTGCCAGGCCATTGAAGAAAGGGTGAGGCTCTCCCATCTTTGACATAACTCATTCATTCTGGATAAAAGTCAACGGGTCTGGTCATTGAGTGGTTGACTCAGTTAGAAAGACTGCAGTAATGCAAAGTGGTCCGCAGGATGGAACATTAAAATGAAAATAATACTGGCATGTAGATTATAAAAGGTTTGGCAGCCATTTAGCACTGCTGTACTATTCCACTACTAATGCTTGTTAGCTGACACTGAACAGATGACAAGACCAGGGTTGAAAACAGCACTGTGCAGTGCTGTCAGCTACTGCACTGAGGAGACTCCATTAACTACACAGGAGTTACACCAGAAGAAACGAAAAGACACTAAAGACTGCAGCCTTCAAACAGAAAGATACACAAAATGGGATACTTTATGAGCATCTTCTCTTAGATTACGGAAGAGTTTATTTAGCAAGGCAGGCAATAAGCTTTTTCCACTGAAAACTGTTGACAGCAAGCAGCGCTCAGTGTAGCTGTAAAATTCAAAAGTTGTGACAATGTTTACAGCAATTCAGATACAACTTCACAGCAACAGTTATGTTGCAATGGAAGGACTATCAGAAGAGGAAGCAACCCCTGTTGTTTAACAAATGTTAACAACTGTCCTTCCCTTATTTCATCTGTGTGAAAAGAAGCATCCCACAGTTCACTTATCTGATCCTAATGTCACCTCAAAGTAAAGTTCATGCCAGACAAAGAGTAATCACAGAATAATAAGTATACACTTACCAACCGTATCCATTAGTAAATTAAATTAGTGTGATTTTTGGCAGCAAGGGAGAGCTAGGTTAGGCATTATAAATAATTTTGAACTGTAAGAAGAGCAAAGCAATAGATTCACTTGCCTGGTGAGGTTGTAGACCCTATATCACATGGGATTTTTAGAGCTCATTACAAAAAGATCCATCAGGAATGTACCTGCTCATTTGTTTTGGTTTGGTGGTCTGGCCAGAGGAAAACAGGATGACTGCTTGAGATCTCTGCCAGCCCTGCTTTCTAACATCCCCATAGAAGTCAACACTGAACAAACACTGTGATTTTTTAACAGTTGTTTCACTGACATAAAGCCCAATTAAATGACCCTTCAGTGAGGTCATGACTTTTTAGTGCCGGCCAAGTCCACTCTAAAGAGGATGATCAGGGGAAAATTTCAAAGTTTTACGAAGAACTTGGGGGATTTTTTTCACATAAACTCTCCATTTAGGTAAGTAAATTCCATTTAAGGCAGGCCACCAGGCATTTTAGGAAGAATCAACCGACCTGATTTCATATCTACTGCAAAATATGCCATCTTACTGCAATTCTTATCTTTAAAGGGAGAGTTCGTGTTTCCTGTGGGTTAATGAGTCAATTGTTGATTTTGAGACAATGAGAGTAAATCTTGCCAGGGTGGTAAGTCTAGGCTGGTGCCTAGACTTAATGCAAATGGACACCAGTTCACAAGGGGTGGATTCTGCACCCACATCCATGGAGAGGAAGCTGCTTTCAGCACCCTGGACAACATCTGGGCACCCTCAGTAGTCTGATGGGATGCAGACCCCACCGGGCAAGGGGCGGGCTCCTTACTCCCTCCTTACTCCTGGCTGCCAGAGCTGTGATGCCACAGGGCAGGGTAAGACCCAAGATCCTTCCATTAGATGGAGCCTGCCTTTTCACATTTCAGAGCACAACTCGTAGGATGCACCAAGACTAGACCTGCTAGAGCAAGAGCTAATAGAGAGATGTGAATCATTCGCAGATGACATAATTACCTGGGGTTTCCACCCGCCGGTAATGGTAGGGGTTAATGCACACTTCTTTTTGTTTTGAGCCAAATGGAAATTCACAACATTCCAGTGGTTTCAACTCATGGTGAGATTGTAAATCAGGCCAGCGCCACACTCTGCAATATATGACGTGGGGAAGCCCCTTGCGGTGAGACACCTGCAGCCGCCCATCCAAGGAACGAGGGATTGTGACACATTTACTGGGTTGACCCGGGCAGCTCAGAGCCCTTTCCAGTTCTTCCATGGCACCCTTTTTCTTCTTTAACTTCTTCACCAAGGAATCAACAGCTTTTTCTGCCCACTTTTCTTCTTCATCTCCTTGTTTCCAGCCCAGCAGCCTTTTCACTGCAGGGCTGGTGAAGGAGAACAAGGAACTGATAGGGGTGCTGGAGTGCATAAGAAGCAGAGATTACAAACAAACACCAGTGGAAGCACAAATCGCTCTCCTGCCTGGCAAGGCTTGCACGGAGTTTCCGCAGTATAGCGAGGGGACACTTCCTTCAAGGAAAGGTTCTTCCACACATATGTTTTTGTAGTCTTAGGCACTGGTTGCAAGTGGTGCAACAGGGTGGGTCTCAGAACTTTCCAAACATCGAGAAACTGCTGATGAAGCCTGGAACAGCAACACAATACATAGTTAGGCTTCAGACACTATTTTCATTGTTACTTCAATAAAATATTTTGAAAGAGAAATTATTCAAAATGTGTAGTTAATTTGCAATGGTTTTCTGTTTGGTTTTTGATGTTTATTTTGGGTCCAAGTCTCTCCTCCCCATTACCCTCCCCACTCATTTTAGAGTTGGACCATGGAAATCATTAAGCATCCAGCCACTTCAACTCTGTTTAATGCACCAGGCAAATGGTTGCACAACTAGGGTTATATTTACTAGAAAACAAAATGTAGCTCTTTTTTGTATGCTGGTAGCTGTAGGTTCAGTTCAAGCATCTTCTAGGAAATTAAATCTGTAATATCAAATTTTATGGAAGCAATGAGCAGAATATTGTACTGATTTCAACTCCCTCAGCCACTCCAGTCTCACAGTGTACTGTCAAGAACTGTAAGGTATTAACTGCAAAACTAATTTAAAATGACTACTCCCAGATTTCACTTAGGGCCTTTGAAAGATCTGTTAGTATTCTCTAAGCTTATTTATATTTTCTCATATGGAAGAGAAAAACCTTGTTTGCCTAGACAGTCTGTTTCTTTCTCTTCAACAATTCACAGCTTTCTGGATCCCACTCACAGACTTTTGGACACAGTTTGTGCTGGATGGATCCTCAGTTATTTTTGCTAGGAGTTGCTACATCTGACACAGTCCAACAGAAGGAGTTTAGTTCTAGAGAGGTTTTACTTTTTTTTCCTTCATGTAGCTGGAGCCAGTCTAATTTTAGCTGCAAATGGCATATTTCCACTGACTGGAACTCTGAGGAAAGATGTATGTCAAGCTATTTACTGCTTTAAATATACTTCATGGACCCCCTGTGCATAGTGAGTCCAAAGGTCTGAACTATATATACAGAGGGCACTTAGAACAGGAGATGGGGGCAGCCTTTAAATGGATGCCTCTAGAAAAGGAGCAGCATGACTGCCCTGGTCCACTCTTGTGGACCTTACCCCCCATTCAGTAAAGGTCTGCTCATATAGTCCTCAGTACTACTCATATGCAGCCACTGAGGAAACAGATGTTGCCCGGCACTGGGAGCAGCAGAGCTTCACAAACCATATCACATTCTGCACTTTCCTTTGACGTACAGTTCTAGTAAGAGTTCAAAGGGCACCTTGGGACACCATGTGCAGGCACAGGTACAACATACTGATACAGGAGGCCAGTCCCAAAGATTTGGCATAGTCTGATACCCTCAGCACCACACAGCTCTGGAGCATGTTGCAGAGTAAGCACACATGGCCCAAGGCATCAGAGCCTCTTAGACAACCTGAGAAACAAGGATTGCCTAGAGCTGTTTTCCTACCAGCTCTTCTGTTCCCGTGCCCATCCCTCTGTCCCACTGCATTACCCTTTAAGACGCCAAGCACTCTGAGAACTCCAGGTACATGGACGCATAACAAGCTTTTTCCCTTCTTCCACAACAGCAGCAATGGTGAGGGTGGGGGCTCAAATTCCCAAAAGCCTTCTACTGCACCAGGAAGATGGAAGCAGCATAAAAGTAACACCTTGGCATGCCACAAATGCCATCAGTAGTTGCTATTCCCCAAGAGATTGATATTCCAAGAACCAGTGAACAGGAGGCTGCATGAAAGTATGCACACAGGGACCACAAAACTGAAAGGTAGAGCAGGCCCACCTTGCTTCAGGCACCTACCACAGCATTGATCTGTGGCTTACGCAATTTCTACATTATCAATCTATGTGTGTGTCCATTTGTCCTCAACCATCAAGACAGGTTCTTGACAGAGCACAGCAGAAATCCCCTTGCTCGTGCCATTCATCAGTCAGTGATCAATTGATTCCACGGAAATGCATGAACTTGTCCCTTCAGACCAAGAGAAACTTCATATTCCAGGTTCTCTCCCTGCTCTGTATTAGTGAAAATCCAACGACCTGGAGTATTTAACTGGATACTTAATAATGCCTCTTAGTCAAATCCAAAGTCTATCCTGAACACTTAGAGGGTACATGTGAGAATGAAGTAAATTCAGAATGATGTATCACAGGAAAAAAACCCTCAAGCTGCTTGTAAAACGTAACGTGGATCAAACTTAGGCCATCAGCCTTTACAGGAGCAGGCTCAGCCTACAGAGGCTACAGCACCAGCCGCATCTCGCCATCCTGTGCAGTGGAGGTGTCTGTCCCTCACTGCCCCAGTGAGAACCTCTGGAAGATCCACCACCACACTGCTGTAATTGCTTGGTGGCATCAAACCCATCCTCATGTAGAAAATGAATCAATGCTGGGATTGCTGTGGATCAGCCCTGAAGGCAGCAACAGGAAGCAAGGAAAGCCTGGGATGAAAGCCCACTGGACCAACAGCAGTGAAGTCTCTGCTCCAGGCTGAGAGGGAAAAAGGCTCACGCTTCTTATCTGAGGGGGTCTCCTGGGCATTAGCATGTGTAAACAACTGCTTCTGATAAGTTAATGCAACATTACAATCATCAGATATGAAAACATACATGTTCACGTAAAAGTATTGTCCCAAAATTTTCTTTTCCATTTTGACCAACGTTTTAAATAAACACATTAATCTCGTTCAGTCAAATTAAATAACTCAACAGTGACATCAGTATGAGTCTGAGCACTATTGTTGCTAGTGGGAGAGTAGCCAAGACTATGTGTATAAAAGCAAAAGCCGTGCTTTGCAGACCATGTGATGTAGTCTCAGATAAGTACTCTGCACAATTTCCTACTGTGCTCTCCCTGTTTCTTCTAAAATCTTTTTTTCCCCAAATTCAACTGACATATAAAATATAAATGATATAAAACAGATTTCAAATATTATCTGAACATCCTACTTTAATGTTATTAAATTACATAATACTGCATACTACTCAGCAGACTAAGTCCTGTGTTGCTACACTTAAATTCTCCATTGTGAAATACCTAGGCAGCCACTCTGCTCCAGGGCTGCAATGACAGAGATGTCAATTCACAATTTAATTTTAACAGTCTTTTAGGACAGCAGTTGCTTCAGCTCTATGCCTTTGGTAACAAGCAACTTGCCTACCCAACTGGAAACTTCCAATGTTGAAACATTTCAAAACTACGCTTGATGTATTTTCTGTGCTGATGGTCCATTGTGCTTCTTGATGCTCAACACTTTAGAGTGGCAGTGGGGAGGGAAGCGTAACAGTTTTGATCCATATCCCCACCACGTGTGTAAAGCCATACCATGGTGGTAGTTCTGGTCTGGTCACCTCTATCTCCCTCACTGACAGCATGATGTGCTATCCTGAGAACGAGTCAGGCATCATTCAGGGTACATTCCTAACATGATTCCCTCTCCTCTGGGACTGTAAGGAAAGCTGTATCTGTCTGTCAGCTAAGTGACTGGTCAACACTAAACATGGTCAGTCTTCCATGCCATAAATCTTTATTCCATCACTGAGTTTAGCCTAAGGTCTGAAGCTTGATTTAGGGAAAAGGTAGAAGACATATGGTATGTGAGCATGGACCTACCCTTTCACTTCTGTGGCCTGCAGGAGAAGGTGGGACTGGAAATGCGTCAGCCCAGTTCCCTGGCTCCATTCTCCCTAAACATAGGGTGCCTACCTTAGCTATGGCACAATAGTGGTGGGAAACTGGAAGGTGATTAACCATAGCATGTTATTACCACGGCATCTGGAATAGCTTTGGTCTGTTACAGGAGCACTCTCCCAACTCACTCCTGTGTGTGTAGTTCAAGAGTTAGGAGGGAACACAGGTCACTCCTGATAATAAACCTGCACAGAGCCACCCTGTCTTGGAGGGTGAGACAGCCATTGCATGGAAGTAAACCTCAAGCCTAGGAACAGTATAAGGCATGTTTTTCCTAATGTTTAACCTACACCTCCCCAGACGCAGCTTCGTACCATTCCCTCAGGCTGGGTGAATTTCCCTACCATAGCCACAGCAGGGAAATTGTACCAGTCCTTGTTACATTTCATCCTAAGTTTTCCACAGAAGTCAAAAAGAAAAACTGCATGCATGCTAACAAAGCCAGACTTAAAACAAAACTGCATAAAAAGGCAAAGGGTCCAGTCTCCCTCAAAAGCGTATCTGTGCATATGTGTGTAAGCACACATGAATGCAGATTATGTATGGTTTGGAATAAAGATTCAACGCGCTGCCTCCACTTGAAGCGCTTGTCTGGGCTGAGTGCGCTGTGAGAGGCAGAGGCAGGGCTATCTGTCTCGAAAATGGCTGACATCAGTCTTGGTGTCACTGCAAAAGCTATGTAAGGCCACAGAGGGAGATTCCTCAGAGGGTTGTCTAGACATAAGCTGTGCAGTTCTTGGAGATGAATGCAGCTGGAAAATGGAGTAGTGCGACAATTATAGCTGGAAGTCTGCCGCTCAGCAACTAAATCACAACAGAACTGGAAGGGAGAAAATCATTTCAGTCAATCAGTGTAAAGAGGAATGCTGCGAACATGATCTTGGTTAGTTATTTTTACCTAGCACTGATTCAGTTACTTCTACCTAGTATGAAAGAGAGAAGCATGCAAGTTTTCTTAAAGCTGAGTCTTGGTGTGTTTTCAAATGTGGCCAGATGGCAGCAGCCAACACACACACCCAGGGCTGGCAAAGAACCTCCTGAGTTACATCAGCACTGCCACTCACTTATGGGGACCTTCCACATATCAGAAGGGGAAAGGGCTTTAAAACGAACAAATAAATAAATAAATAAACAAACTAACAGAAGTGTGTATGAATACTTGGGCCTCAAAAGAGCGAGGAACCTCACCAACCTTGCTTTGGGCCTCATGCACAACCCGTTTTGGTTTTTTTGCAAGCACAGTAGCTCAGAGCTCGGCAGGAGAGGTTTCATATGTGCACTCACTGCGGAAGAGCAGTGTGGAAGCACACACCTGAGCTGCACAGTCCAGTAACCAGCTCATGGCTTGGGAATGGTGGCCACAGGTTACTCTTGACACATGTAAATCACTTGAAAAGCCTCA